TGTTAGGTATTTCATTTTCTTGTTGACTATCTTCAGAGTGTGATCTTAAATGTCCTCTTCTTCAAAGTCTTCTTACTGCACTAGCCAAATGGGATTCACTACTAGAGTCGGAAGCATCTGGAAGTCAAGGTACAGGATTATTTGCCTGAGTAGGTGGGAATTCACTTGAAGGCCATGATATTTTTGTACTTGAGGGTTGTTCTAGTTCTTGCCTTGCTTGGTTGTATCCTTGATGCCTTGTAGGCTTGTCACTTTCTTAGACCTTAGCAGAGCACTTGAGTTGTTTCTTTCTTCTAAGGTCTGGCCATAGGATCTGCTTCCCACTCTGAGTCACCAATAGCTCTATGTTGGTATTGAGATAAAGCTGAATGTACTATGATTCTGCTGCTTCTCTCTGCTAGCGTTCTGCAGTGGATGTTGGTGGGTTAATCAGGCCTAAGTCTGGTGACAGGTTTCTAATCAGTTGCTGAAGTAAACAAAATGTAATATGTTGACAATGTCCTAATTACGTTTTAGGATAAGATACTATAGTTGACAGGTGGCCTGATTTACCTGAGAGGAAGCAAGAGCTGCAAACTAAAAAAAAAGCTTTAAAGATGGACTGGGAAAACTAAAACGTAAATGTTCAACAAAGTATGTTGAAATACTTTCTATCAAAGTCTGTCTTTTCCATTATAGAATTAGGCAGTCTTTAAATACACAAATCTGTTCATATTTAACATGAGCAAAACTATTTAAAGGTATCAAGCTATACACTTTAATAAAACCATTTAAGTATCAAAACAATACTTAAAACAAAACTGAAAACAAAACCAAGTATCAAATGATACTTAAAACAAATCAGGTATCAGAGCGATACTTAAAATGAAACATAAAACAAAACACAAAGCTCCTAACTGAGTACCTGTACCAATTACAATTTTCGAAAAGAGACTTATAGCGGAGTTGAATATCATCCAAATATTCAATATGTTCTGTTGCTTCTTTATTGGTTTCACCTTTTTTCCTTTAAATATGTTGCTTTCTCATATTTTTATTTCTTTACTTTAGTTTAATTTGTAGTTTAATATTATAAAATAAACTTTAAAATTACTAACCTTATGCTATATAATAAGTTTTTCCATTTGGTTCTTACAAGAAGACCTGGACCAACATATTCCAAACAGAGCAAGATTTTGAGAACTTTCCTCTCAAGGGCTTTTCTTGCGACCAATCTTACTTAAAATTAGATTATCTTCTTGTACTTGACCTGTAAGAGCTCAATCTTCCCATGGCTGCCAGGCCCCACCATATTTTCGCTTTCCCGGCAGTGGTGTTAATTGGTCTGTTTGCCAAGATTCTGTTTTCCTCAGTGTGCATCATTAGCTGATTTAAATCTCTTAAAATCGCAATGCATATGATGGAAACAAACCTGCTTCTTGTAATTGCATTGGAATCATGACTAGTTGTTAAAGAATATATTTAGAAGGCAATTATGTTGTAAATTATAGCTATATATGCATCGTTGTTATGCCTTAAACTCATGTCCTGTTGTTACATCATCTATACTTAATTGCATCTACCGCAAAGTCTAACTAAGGTCCGGCTCCAACTATTGAGCACTTTGGCATACAGGGATTCTGGATACATATACCGCCATGTCTCTATTATGGGAAATCTCCTATTGTAAGATATTTGGAGACATTTTTCAGAGAACATGTAATATTTGAGATTTTAGCCGACAAAATAATAGCCATATGATAGAGGCACGGTACAAATATCAACTCATTCTAGGGCTAGGCAAGATACTGTACTAGTACTCATACATGTAACTTCAACTTTTTTTCCTCCTAGCACTCTTTTGGAACATTGCCAACCATCAGCTAGGGTTGTGATTACACTCCAAGTGGGTGGGAGGCATTGTACAAGTACAGTACCGGTACCGTACTGTACTCACGCGTCTTTGCCAAGAAAAATGCTGTGAGCCGAAAATGGGGTGGTAATGTCATGAACGTGGCTTAGCGAGGAAAGGGTTTTTCAAGTGACACATGGTTATGAGTCACAGGTATGTTATTGTTTCATGCATATGACCTATTCGAGTTATATGATTAGTTATGTGTAGGATTTGTGATGCTTTCACACATGGCTCAAGTATGAGTCATGGGACATGCGCCTGACGAGTATGCCTTACGAGTGTGCCTTACGGGCAAGCCTTGCGCATATGATTTATGTTTCGCACATGACCTCATTATGATGTCATGGGTTTCGTGCACATGACTCAGTCGAGTTATATGACTTGTTTATTGCGTTATGATTGGTTTATGAGTTTCACACATGACCTCGCTATGAGGTCATGGGTTTTGAGCATGTGATCACTTTCGTCATATGACTAGTTTGTTATGATTTAGTTTCGCACATGTGACCACTTTAGGTCACATGACTAAAGGCGGGAAGAACACTATATAAGGAGGCCGATGCGGCCGAGGACGATAGGTTCTTCACGCTTTGTTCTAAGTACTTTTCCTACTTATTACTTTAACGAATATAAAATACCTTTACGATCTTTATCTTTATTGTAACAATATCATTACGACAAGAAGCGCTCGTCACGAAGACGAGTTAGAGAAAGCTTACGATAGGCATTTCCGATAGAAGACAAAGGTCTTGTACTATCGGTAACGTAGGCAGAGGCCTAGAGCTATCACAAGACAAAGAAAAGACGAAAGACAGGAAGAGAAGTATCGTTCCCCGTCGCCAAGCACTAACTATCCAAAGAGGGATTGTTACAGGTAAACTATGACGACAAGGTACTATAGATAAGAAACAACCAGGAGTAGAGCTATACATCAACCATATCATCCATGATTATATCAAACCAAGCACCTTATTCCACTACAAAAATGCTGAGTGGAGAAAGCCTGTCAATTCCAATCCGAAGTGCAATTGTTATGCTAATTCAAGTAGGAGGAATGAGTTATTTTGATGTCTATGAGGCTCTGAATTCACGGATTTCACTAAATACAATAAAAGGAACATGGCTCCGAGTAATAGTAAGTAGGAAAGATAAGCATTTAAGTATGGTCTATACTAATCAGTGAATATAAAAGAGGAAATCAGAGAGTCGAGATATCTTTCACCTGCTCGAAAATCTTCACGATCAAATTCGACCCGAGGCAGCTGTTCCGCGAAAGATTCACGCTGGATCTGCTACCTCCGAACGATTACGAGATCTTGCCTTATGTGATGAGGAACATTGGTAAAAGACCTACCTACAAATTGCAGCAGAGGCTGAGGTTAACATTTCCAAATCATATGCTTATAAGATAATGAAGGAGCATCATGATTTGGGCCACTTTGAACCACGATGAAAGCCAAAACTACAGCTCAAAGACTGGCATGCCTGGGTTGTACTGGCTGATTGGGCGCTCACGAAATCTTTAGAATGCTTTGCTTTTACAGATGAAAGCTGAATTGAAATAGGAGGTACATGTGGACAGCAGAAAATCACTCAACCTTAAAACTCGAATCCCTATGACTATGTTGTCGTGTTTCATAAACTAGTCTTTTCACTTATGCTTTCAGCTTGTGTTACTATGGGCTACAAGGGTAGACTCTATATTTGGGAGAAGGAGAGTGCGGAGGAGCGAGTGGAGAATAATATGGAACTAGAAAAATAAAACCAAGCCAAGTGGGAGAGAGTGGCTGATAAGAGGAGGAAGGCAGTAGTACCAAGTACTATTGAATATGAAGAACTAGAGGAAAAGAATGCAAAAATCCCAGAGTACAACCGGGTTAAAAAACCTACAGCACCATGCAAAAGACCAAGACGTCCTGAGTGGGAGTTTGGAGAAGAGGTACCAGCTAGGAGTGCTGGAGAGGGATTTGATTGGTTTATATACAGGAAAGAAGTCTTACATCCACTGGTGTATCCATTTCTAAGTAAGGTTCAAGAAGAGAAAAAAGTGGATATCTGGCTTATTGAGGATAATGCCGGCAACCACACACAGGCTGCAAGAATAGATGCTGAAGAAGCATCTAAGTTCAGAATCAAACGAATTCTCCATAAAGATTTACCTATCGATAGACTCCCTTAGTGGCCCACCAACTCCCCCAATATCAATAAGATAGAGCCACTTTAGCGATATCTTAAAGATCATCTTGCCAAGTACCCATGCCCAAAGGGCCAGTCACGCAGTGAAATTGATCGATTTAGACGAATCATTCATGACAAATGGGATACAATACCACAGCAGGTTATTGATCTCCATTGCTGAAAATTTCATACAAATCTCAGGCAACTCAAAGAAAACAGTGGAAAAAACAACTTTGATGCCTAGTCTGCTAGTTACTCCCCAAGTATTACAAGGTACTGTTTCCTCAAATTCTTAGAAGGCATTGATAAAGTTATCTGATTAGCACAGCGTTATAGTACGAGATACCGGCCGAGGAGCAAGAAAGCACGGTATGAAAGAGTGCGAGCACAAGCCCAGGGGGATGCTGTCTGCTTTCCGCTCAGGACTGGCTATACTTGCACAGCCAAGTGAGCCGGGTGTGTGTTTTTATAGTATGCTATGGCCGGGGCAGGATACATGGGAGTGGATTGTTGTTTTTCATATTTCCTACTGCTAGGCATAGAACATGGGTTTTTTTGGTTTTGTCAATGTACTTTGCCAGTACCTGTAGGTATCAAGTGTCCGTGATCTGGTTTGGTATTGGTTTAAAACTCTTTAAAAAATGCAGTGCAACATGTGAGTGTTTAAGATGTATGTTACTTTGCGACATGTATTGAAAACCCCCTGTTTTCGGCTCACGGCGTTTTTCTTGGCAAAGACGCGTGAGTACTTGAGCAATAAATAGAACGCAAACTTCAGCTGGTTAGGAGCATTCAGGTGAGTTAATCCGAGAGAGCTACTGGTTTTACACAGTGGCGGCTTTCAGCCCGGAGAAACCACAAAAACACGAGAACAATCGAACACCAGCGAATGATGTCCCAGTTGAATGGTCGAACGCGAGGACAACAAATAATATACAATCACCAAACAGGGAAATAGCTACTGTGATTATCTAGCAAAAAAGCGTATAGTGAACAGCGTATGGTGAGCGACTCACAAAATAGTGGGATTCTAGAATAAATCTAAATGATGCTTAGTCAGACTAAGGAAAATGTTGATCGCTAACATGCGACTTACGAGTAGGGTGGATAGGTTCTCTACCCCACGCGGCACCATTTGCTCAACAACACTCGCGTGCGCGACTCTACTAGCTAGACGGGAACGCAAAATACGGTAGTATATATCATTTACGATAAAATTATCCACATAGTCTTCCGCCGCTCGTCACACATGTGCTCTCTGTTCCACATGCATCCCCGCAACCCCCCCATTTCTCACGCGCTCTGGCTAACAAGAAGAAAGAACAGCTTCTCAAAGGCTCCCGTGGTTTGTAGCCGCCACCGCACTGCTCTCTGTCTCTCTTACACTCACGCGTCCCTTGTACTGGGCGGAACTTGAGCGGATAGCGCCGCACTGGCTGGGCTCTTTGAACCGCTACCGTCGGTATCCTACTGGCCGGACACTATGAAAGGCTTCTGCCGGGTGCTTGTTCAATGCCCCCAAGAATTTACGAGGCGACTGGCGGATCTCAGCAAGCGAAAACCACCCCTGGCTGTTCCGATTATTGGGTCCCCACCGTCAGACTTGCTAGAAGCGCAGAATTCCTACCGCTCGCTTGTGATGGAGGGATTGCGGCATAAAACCCTTTGAGATGAGCATGAAACAGTAGCAGTAGGGTGGTTTTACTGAGTATATATTCCCAATTATATCTTCCTCCCTCTCCTTCCTCCCCATATCGCAGCCCTACCACCTAACACCCCTCCTTATCCTCTACCACCGTATAGAACATCCGGTTGCCTATACCCCCCCCCTCCAATTAACTACAGCTACAAGCCCTAATCCTAGCCTAGGTTCTGTATGAAAAAGAAAGACAAAAAAAGGTACATCTAAGCTTCCTCTTCCCCCTTTAGCAATTCACACTAACACACTACATAGCACTTCACGGCCACTGGCAAAAAAATGGAAAACCTCTGCTCCCGTAGTGAGTCAATTCGAGAGATGGGAATCGAGATCGGGGAACTACGGAATGGCCCCGCAAGGTCGGCGAGGGATGAGAGGTACAGGAGGTGTAGATCGAGGGTGGAATAACCGCTTCTTGTGGTGGTAGTAGTGGTGGCATACCCAATTAAGCAACAGTAGCAACAAGGAGCAGGACGGTTGGGCGTCATGGAAGTTCACAGGAGTCCAGGGCCGCGGAGAAATTTGTGGCCAGGGCCGAGTCCAGGTGTTATGGGAGGGACAGGAGTTGAAGGGGGCGGAAGCCGCAGTCGTCTCACACAGTGGAGATAGTTTCTTGATAGTGGTTGGGGGCTTATGTGGTTGGACGGGTGAAAATGTTATAGCGTGACCAAAGGAAGTGAGCTGGGGATTTAATCGTCGAAGTTGATTCTCGTATCAAACACCGGCCATAAATTATCCAGAGAAGTGGATTACCCTCTAAACTCTGCCGCTATGATACTTGTCCGGCTAAGGCTGAGGAGGGCGGGAGACACCCACCTATTATCATACCCGCGCCAGGTCTATACTAGTGAGTTTCCCCCAAGTGCCATTTTACCATTCTGGATGGGAAATTGTCGCGATAGTTTAACTTGGCCCGTCTGGTTACCTCACCAGCCCTTTATTTCGAGCCCGATCATAAAGGTCTGCGGTAGAAACGCTATCTTTCCTTGGAGTGGCATGTCTGGTTTGACTCCAAAACATGGTAATCAATTTGCAATGACGGGGCCAAAAACACCTTAGGATTGTGAGTTCTGGCCCGGCCATCGAGGCAACGTATGTTTTAAGTAGCTATGACTCCGGAGCAGGAAAACTACGATCGCTGAGATCACAAACTATCACTCAGCTGAAACGAAACGCCAAGACAAAGATTAAAAGAGGGGTAAGATGATTTTTCTCCTGTTCTTTTCTCTCTCTCAAAGACACTCTCGCACTCATCAACTCGCTTGCTCAACTCAACTAACACATGAGGAAAAGACAGGTGTATAAATAAACGATGATTGGGCCTCTCATTTTCCCACCGGACTCCACACATCCATCGCGATCCCCGCTCATCCGCTCAAGTTTCCCTTTCCTCGGCTTGTTCCCATCGCTAACAAAAGAAAGGGCAAAAGAACAGGCGCTACGAAGAGCTCTCCCGCTGCCGTGCTACTTCTGTCGCCGACATCACTTCCGCTGCCGCATTTCTTCTGTACGTACAAATGAAATACAGGCCCAACAAAGACGCTCCCGTTTCCTCCCATGCTCCCTCTACATCCTGCTCTCCTACTACCTTCCTTACTCCCGCCGCCATACGCCGTACTTCTCCGACAGATATGATAGGGCAAATCGGTGAATGGGTGAACGAATAACAAAGGACCGGTGATACGGTCGATCGATCGGGCGTGCGGGCGGACTAATCGCTGGGCGGAAGGGCGGAAATTCTGCAGATAAACTGACAAGAGAATAGGTAGACAGGCGAGCAAACGGACGAGCGAATAAATAAACGGACGGACAGACCATTGGGCGGGTGAACGAGCGAACAAACAAGCGGGCAGATAATCGGGTGGACGTACGATAAGAATAATGGGGTGGAATATCAGATATGCTGCTTTTCCGGCCATCGAGCATCTTCTGAACATGTCGAGCATGTTATAAACGTGTCAGGCAAGTTCTGAGCATGCTGGGTGAGTTGTGAGCATGCCGAGCAGCATTTCCAACAAAGAAAATACAGCGCAGAACCTAGTTCAGCCGTCCCTCACCCCCCCGTAGTCCACCTCCGTCTCTCTGACGAAACCGCATAACTTCGTTTCCCACTATCGAGCAGATTGCCGAATTCGTTCTGCCGTCAGGTCCTCGCGTCTCGGTGGCGCGTCGCCGGGCAATTGGAGACACTGTCTAAATCTCCCACGGTCATCCTAAACGGTAATACATGGGTAGTGGTGGGCCCATTCTAGCGGCATATATCGCGTTCATATCGCCTACCAAACATGAGTGCAAATGTCGTGATTTTGCATCATCGCACTCGCCAACAGGAAGGATGCAGAGGATTGAAAAGAGCCGAAAACATCGCACCCGCAAATAGGATAGATGATGCCAAACTCTGGCTGCAGGTCCTCAGCCGTTAGTACTGACAATCATTTTAGAAAGCCAACTGGTAGTAGGACTGAAACGGAGACGAAACAGCGAAACGAAACGCCAATGACTAAAAGTGCTATGAAAAACTCTACACAACCAAAAGTGGAGATGTTCACACTCTTGCTCTACAACTCCCTCGACAACTTGCTTTATTTCACAACTCTCTCTCTTGCTCGCTGGCTTGCTCGCACTCCACAACACATCCGGAAAAGACAAGGGTATAAATAACAAAAAATCGCCTCCGGTCCTTTCACTGATCGCCGCATATCTTTAACACCTTCTACACTCGTCCAGCTAAGTCTTCCTTTCCTCTGCATATTCCCTGCTAACAAACAATTACAGACCTAACGACGACCGGTCCAATTTGCCTTCCGCGCTCCAATTATCCTTCCATGCTCCCATTGCCTTTCGCCCTCTTATTGCCTTCCGTGCTACCATACCAACAAAAGAAACACAGACCCCATAAAGACTGCCGGCAAAATCCCTCAGACTCTACCGCTTTCCCCCCGCTTTCCTCTCACCGGCACCACTCTCGCCATCACACTGATGCGCATTACCATGGCGTGCCCGTGGTTGCATTTGCGCCACGAACAAAGGAAAGGACAAGTTAGAACAAACAAGGGAATGAGCGGGGAGAATCAGGCGAACTGGCAGAAACGAACAAACGAAGGATAGACGGATGGGAAATAAATGGACGGTAAATAGACAGATGGGAAAGCGTACAATGTCATGAGCATGCTGAGCAGCATTCATGATTTCCAACAAATCCGTGTGAAAAAGCCTCGTCCAGCACTATCGCTTCGGAGGCCCCCTATGAGGTGAAGAGGTTGTGTACGAAGCCCCATCTCCATTTCCTGAGTTACCCTTATCCAGCCTATGCACAATATTTAATATAACTAGAATATGTACCATTGGTTGGGCCTTATGCCCCTCTTACGAGCGTGTAAACTTGTACTAGATTCTCTAGGAAACAAGCACTGGGTGATTTCGGTGCACCCCCAGACAGCCCGGTGGCACCCTTTCTAACAAGAAGATAAAAATACACACTGTATACTCTTTGTCGTTATCACACATGAGGACAGCGCCACACCGGGGAATGGCGATTCTAGGGAAACGAAACAAAACCACGCTTATTATACCTGGAGGACAAAGGGGGCGTATGATATGTTTTACCGTTCGCAACAACTGCAATTTTTCGTTTTCTTCTAGGAAACATTACAATACCGGTATCCAAACTCGACAACGATGCTGGGATATCGGTTATATTTGACCTGCAAAGATGGGGTGAAAACAGGTAGTATGCACTAGATCCCCGAAATATGGCCCCCGATCAACAAACCTGGTAGTCAGGGTAACCCTGATTTGGGTGCTATCGCTTGGGAACTTTGAACATACACTAACCTTACTTTCCGATGGATCCTATTGAAGGTTCTAGATCGATGTTAGTCGATTGAGATAGATTGTGGAGGTTTCGGGAGTCTGGGGGAGAGTTCAGAGGTTCAATGGATCGGTGTGGAGGTTCAGAGACTGACAGGAGATTCTCCGGACATGTCTTTCCTTTGTTATCACGGGAGTGTACGGAGGAGAGGATAGCATGCTTAGAGAGATACGGATAGGTGTGGTGATTCATGGAACGACGAGGACACACTCCCCACGTTTTACTTATACACCTGTCTTTACCGTTAGTTTAGAGAAGAACGGACGAAGTTGTTTTTTCCTTACCTTATGCTCTTGTACAGTACACGTCCTACCACAGCCCCCACGTAGACCTTTAGTCCCCCTCTATCGCTGCTCGAGTCAGTCATTGACTGATATACTCCTTCACAAGAGATCCCTGACCACAATTCAATTAATTATCTTGATAAGTGATAGGAAAGGGCTACATGTTCTTTACCGCTTCCTTATTTTCCTTGATTCTTTAAATTGAGTCGCTCATGATGAAGTCCAATTTTCGAGAATTCTTTTTTTGCGCACGGTTACTCAGGTATGAACGTGGGTGACCGGACAGACAGGGGTTAGAAACTATATGCAGATATGGATTTTCTAACCCCTGTCTGTCCAGTCACCCACGTCCATCCCCAAGTACTAGACAAAAAGCCAATGCACCCCTGTTCTCCCAGTGTGGCACCAGAGCAGACGAGTACTCTGATCTCCAGTATACAATGTGTCGATGTGGAGAAATTTTCTGTTCGACACTCTCGACACTAATGCTCACTCTATCTCACGACATCGCGGCCATCGGATTGACAGTAAAGGCAGGAGTATAACTTGGGCTGTGACGGAGATATCCTCTGATACTTCCACCCATTCCCAAACATACCATTCCGATCCTCGCCTATCCGCGTAAGTCCTCCACTTCTCCACACTCTTCCATTCTAAAAAATAAAAAACTAGCTTTATTGAGATTCCCACTGCTCATCACCTCTGTGCAGTCCTTTGGAGTCTCCTGTTTCCGACTCCCACATTTCCGACAAATACATCTTTCCCTTCCGTTTGCGCAAATCCTAAGCGCATCTCTGATGTCTATCTAAACAAGCGATAAAACAGGACGCACATTATGAGAGTTCCAGCGAGTTCCGAGCATGTCGAAAGGGTTCCCAGAATATCAAATAGCTTACGAGCTTGTTGAGCAGTGTTGAGTGTTCTGGATGGATGATGGTTTGATGGGAGCAGATTGTGGATTTTTCAAGAGTCAGGTAAAGAGTTCAGAGGTTGGATAGATCAATTTGGAGGTTTGGGGATTTCTTGAGTGGATTTTCCTGACATGTCTTTCCTTTGTTATCATGGAAGTGTACAGAAAAATGGGGGAATGCGTGGAGGCATAGAGATAGGTGTGGTAATCTACGGAAAGCTCAGGATACATTTATTATGTTTTACTTATACAGCTTTTTCTACCTTTAGTTCAGAGGAAGGGTTAACGAACCATGTTGTTTACTATACCTCTCACTCTTGTCCATACACTTTTATAGTTCTCTATATATTGACTTAGTCTTCTATCGACCATTGCGTGATTAGCCTCCCACTATTATTCCTATTGAGAAGCGGTATCCATGATTTGCCTAAGTGTCATGTATATATATCAGATGAATGACATGTAAATTAGAAGACTCATAGGAATAGGAGGACATAACATTCAATAGTCGGCACAACCTTTGTGGTGTTGGCTGCCCTCAGGATGGGGATTGTTAGAGCGGGAATGACAGTTAGTATGATACCAGAATTTCCGGAATCTTTAGTGTTCAATTAGATGGGGGTGGGCGCAACCCAAAACTGCT